GGGGGGGGGGTGGTTATCTCAAGTCAAGAACTCTGAGCCCATTATTAGGCACCCATGGACAGTGTAAGAGGCTTGGCAAGGGGGAGAGTGGGAAGGAAATGGGAGAGGTAGAAAGTACTTTTGAATGTGAAAGGCAAAAGGGGTAAGTATTTTCAAAAGGAACAAACACCAGGTGTATTGGGAGCCATCTGTAGAGAAAGTTGGTCTAACGGCAAGCTCTTCTCTGTGACTGCTCTGATACTCTGGGCCTTTTTCTTCCCCTAGCTTGAGCTAAAAGAACGCCAGACCCCAGAGAGACCTGAGGAGGAGCCTGGGTAAGTATGGCGAGGGCCAGGCGGTAGACCCAGCAGGAGCACTCTGCCAAGGAGGATGGGTGGGAAGGGAGAGGGAGGGTACTTTTGAAATCAGAAACAGGCCCCCTGATGTTTTAACAGTGCACATGTGACCTCTCACACCTGGGCCACTAGCCAGAGAAATCTGGAGTGTCTGTAGCTTAAAGGCAGAGAGGAGCTTTTGTTTCCCTCGAATCTAGGGGTACAGGCAGAAATGGGTAGAGAGCAGTGGCTGCTGAAGAATCACCTCCCCTGCTCTGGGCACCACCTGCACACGTGCCTGAGAGGCCATTTTGTGCACGACCATGTCCGTTTCTGAAGTATCTGCCATAACTCTTCAGATTAAGCAGCTCCTTGCTAAGTGCCTGTTGCCAGGAGGCCTGGACCAGGAGATAGCTGATGTGTGTGCCTTGGGGGTAGGCATCGGCCTCAGGGAGGTGGTTTCTAAAGAGGGGCTGTGTCCTCTCTAGGCCTCAAGAGGAGGAAGGCGAGACAGCAGGGGAGGCTCCCCGAGGTCCGCATCGCGCAGCCACCGAGAGAACGTCCCCGGTCAGTTTCCTGTCTGGTTTGTCTGGTTCCTGGGAGTCATTGCTGCCAGAACCTGCTCATCCCTACTAGGCTCAGCCGAGGCAGAAGGCGAGGACAGGCGCACACCACCCAGCCTTCCAGACTCCTCCTTCAGATCAGTCTTCCTTTTTAACTTAGGTTTCCTTAATCTCTAGAATAATTGGCCTCCTTCCTTCAACCCAGAAGAAACTGACATGCCCGCCCACTCATACGACTCTATTAGTTTGGTATTATCTAGTCTAATAAATTTTATTGTATAAATACGTCACCATCTACATTAGGAGAAACAGTTTATCCAGGGAAGGTTTATTTTTACACATCATTCTTTTTCCCATTTTCCCTCTCAGTCCATCCTTCACACAGTAGGCCCTGAACACACACACACACACACACACACACACACACACACATTCTCTCTCTCTCTCTCTCTCTCTCTCTCTCTCTGTCTCTCTCTCTCACACACATGCACAAATAGACCATCTGATCCCGCCTGCGCCAGCCACAGACATTTAGGGCAGTGGAGCGGGGACAGCCACCCTCTAGCAGATCCCTCCCTCCTACACAGAGCCTCCTTCCTTTTGCTGCTCCCAGGCCTGATGCCTGTGAGTCAGTGAGTTTGGATATGGAGCTGGCTCTGAAGCAGGAACAGACTTCAAGGAGCTGTGCAGGAGTGAAGGAGAGCACCAGGGCTTCTGGGTCACAGGGCCAGTCCCCCAAACTTGTAGGAAAGTAAGGTGCATCAGAGTCCTGGCTGGCGGAGGTGTTGGGAGGGTCCAAGACAAACCAGCTGCTGGAGGCTTGGGGCACATGTCTTCAGGAAGGAATAGGTCCATAAGCTGAAAAGACCCAGGGTGTGTGTACAGGGAGCCGGGTAAGGCTGTAACCTAGGTTTTGGAGAAATGCCCTGGGGAGCGGCTGAGAAGAAGACAAGACTTCGGCACGTGCCTTGCATGGCTCACCAATGCATGTACCCCACCTCTCTAGTTGCCCGGTTAAGCTTGCCTGAACCTTTAAGGGAAATTGGCATTCTAGGTGGAAATTTCTGATACGTGCACCACCCCAGAAAAATGCACATACAGTGATTATTTCCTGTGCAAAATCCCTGTCAGGTCTGTCAGCCCTTCTCACACCCCTGAGAGCCACACACACTCACACTCACACACTCTTCCACACTCTGAGCTCCCTCTGCTGCCTCCAGCCTGGCCGGAGTCCCTTTCTGAGCTGCACCAGCCCTTCATGTCCAGCAGAGGGCATTCCTGGGCTCCCAGTGGAGGGTCCTTCCCAGAAGTGCCCTCTGAAGCTCCCATCACCGCATGTGGGATCTCTGGCGGACTTGGTCCCAGCCCCTTTTGCCTGAAACAGCCCCCGCCGGAAGGAGAGAGAACTTGAGGGCTGCCCGAACTGTGGACACTGGGGCTGGGACTGTCCGGCACCTCCTGTGCTTCGGCTGTGCGTCCCTGTGTGTCTTTACGTGCAGTGGTGTCCCCGGTCTGCGGGCTCCTTTGTGGCCACCTGAGCAACTCCATTGTCCGTGTCATGTACGTCTGTGCAAATGTAATTACGTGTGCGTCAGAGCTGCCTCCATCCAACACCTGAATGTCCCTGGGTTTGGGGGAATAAAACCTGCTTGGACCTGAGTATCTCTGGAAGGTGGGAACGAACCCACATCTGAGACCCTTCCCAAGAGCCAGCCACTCCGTCAAATGGGAGGATGCCTGTGTTTGCTACAGGAAGAATCCAGATGGCAAATCAAGTGAATACCAGGCCTGAGGCCTCATGGAAACAAATTTCCTGCCGCTTCTCCTTTCTGAGCCCTTTGTTGGGTTTTATGAGGATCTACAAAACTCCAAGGGAGGGTGTGATACCCAGTCGGTCTTTGATATGAGAGAGGAAAATGGGTCCCACGCAGGCTGGGACACTTTTTCAGAAACCACTGGCCTCTCCCAGGAAGGGCTGGCAGTGTGCTGAGCCTTCTCCCCGGCCGGGCCTGGGTTAGGGTGGCTCTCACGCTGTCCCATGTGTGTGGTCTGGTGTGGGTGCCCTGTAGAATCGATCCATGTGGTGCTGCTTTATGTGAAACCCATCACTAGTGCATGCTGGCTTCCTGCTTGGGGGAACAGATGGGAGTGGACCAGACACCTGCTACACACCACGGGTGGCCACCCTGCAGGCCCCAGCTCGGTACCCCCCCTTTCCAGGTGTTTGCAAAAGCACACGCAGACACACATGGACTGGAGTGCATTCCACGTCCATCTTTTCCTCAAATACATCATTGTACAATTGATTGCCTCCCTCACCACCTTTCCACATCAGAGCACGTTCTGGTAAAAAAAACTGGTCCTTTCATACAGGTAAGTATGTAAGTGTGTGCGTGAGGCCAAGCAGAAAAAAATAAGGTATCACAAAAGCCAAAACTTCTGGAGTGGAAGTCAGGACATTGGGTTCTAGTCCTTAATGCTGCTAGAACCTTCCTGTATGATTTTATACAAACCACCTAATCGTCCTGGGTCTCCTCACCCTTATAAAGCCCTCTTTGGGATTGCAGAAAGTCCAGAACGTTCCTGTATATCAACAGTATACTTAAATAAAGGGAGGGGCTGGGAGAGATGGGTTTCCCCACTTTCCTCTGGTCCCATCCTTAGTTCTAAGGAGCCTGTTAGCTTGTCAGGTGCTAGCTGGTATGAGGCTGGATGGGAAAGAAGAGGCAAAGGGCTGGGGTGTTTGCCTTTGTCCTTGGCTTGGGAAAGAGAGGCAGGGTTGGGCCTCAGCTCCTGCCAAAGTCTATGCCCTGAAGATGGCCCCGGGGCACTGGATGGGGGCCTGGCAGCAGGCTGAGCGTTCCCCTTCCTCTCAGTGCCTGGCACTGTCACCCCAGTACCCCCTGCCTGTATGTGTCCCTTCATCCTGGGGGTGGCTGTGGGAAGGGCCTGGGGTTCTTACTAAGCATTCTCATCTCCCAGGCCCTGGGTGCCTCAGAATCCCCAGTGCATCTGCAGGGAGGTGTTGATTGTTGAAAGGTTGTGATTGATTTCACGGGGGAAAATGGTACTGCAGAGGATCCAGCTCATTTCAGATCACTCCAGGCTTAAAGGTCCCAGCCAACAGTGCTGGGATGTCTTCTGTGCATGGCATCCAGTTCTTGGCTTTGGGGTGGGAATTGGGGCCTGCTTGAGGAATTCTCCCAACGGGACAGCTGTGACAATGTGAATGGCATCCCTGAGAGGTACTGGTGCTCTGAGGGGCTGTGACAACAAGAAAGAGGCAGTCTTCAGTGTTCACCACGTGGTCGTGCCCTGTCAGCCTCTGGAACTTGAGGCTACTCTGGAAAGCAACTGCTGGGTGCTGGTCATTATCAGGTCCCTTCATCAGGTTGTCAGGAAAGATTCTTACCCAAGTGCAGCTCACAGACGTCACTCTTACCATGACCTTCCAAGACTGCCTGCAGCTGGCTGCCTGGGAGAGGACGGGCATCTCATTAGGGGTAAATGTGGGGAGTCTAGGTCCCTCGCCTCTCCCTTCCAGAATTTCAGAGGTTGCCGCAGCTTGAGGGCAGTAACCAGCGCTTGGAAATGGGAGGGACGTGCCCCAGGAGCTGAGCGGGCATACCTTTCAGAAGGTGCCTGGCTGGCTCCAGCAGCTGTCGCCCCTACCCCCACCACCCACCCCCCAGGCTCTCCTCAGAACAGCCCTCCTGGCAGGCAGCCTGAAGCTGTAATCAGCAACCAGAGGTTCCACGTCCTTGGATGGAAGGGATGTGGGGATGTGTGGAGCAGCTGTGTCTCTTCTTGCCCGAGCAAGTGTTCCAGTCCTTTCTCCCCGCCCCGTGAGGCCCAAAGGAACTGCTTGCTGCTTCAGGCATTTTTCAGCCTGTGCGAATCCTATTTGTTCCTAATGAGCAGAAGGGACCTGGAAAGGTCTCTGTTTTCCCCTAAACCTGGGCGTGGCCCTGTCTCCCCAGGATGCCTGAATCAGTGGGTGTGGGGGGCGGCGGGGAGGGGTCTGCCTACAGTCTGGCACTGCACCCTGATACTCCAGGCTCTTTCTGGACCTGTGTCCACCACTGGGTGTGCCCAGCTTTCCATGCTTGGCCACATGTGATCTTCCTGGCCTGGCTGCTCCAAAGGCTGCCTCTGCATTCTTCCTTCCAAGCTGTGTTTCAGAGCATCCCAGATACTGATGGACTCAGGACGAACTCCGTTAACATTGGAGGCATCTCAGAAAAGGAGTTTGAAGCTGCCAACTTGACCACTGGGCATAAGATCTGGAGGGGGGGGGGG